TGAGCTTTTGTAGAGACAGCAGACATGTAGAAGATCTCACATTCTCCATCATCGCCAGTAGCAGAAACGCAAGCGGCATGGGCCAAGGCTTGCTGACAGACAGCTATCCAGCTGTCCTCACTTTTCATAGACAGGGAGGGGTTAGGCTGAGAACCCTGTGGTTCGGGACCCCACTTAGACACCTGGGAGTCGGAGTCCCATCCAGAGATTTTTGACCCAGATTGTGAGGAGCCGCTGTCCTCTTGCATTGGCTCCTCTTGCGGCTCAGCTAGATGGTTGACAGGATCAGTGTGTGTCGGGCACTAGAAGTAAGAAACAACAGACCAGGGGCGGCTATCTCATCTGGCACAACAGCTGGTGCGGAAACTCCTCCAGTCGCATCCCAGAGAGCCTGGCTGGACGGTGCAGACTTTTGCAGAGAAGCTTCAGCAAGGGCAGCCTTGATGATCTCAAACCGGATGAGCCGTCCAGCCATGATTTAGAGGGCAGCCTGGAGACAATGGTACTATATCGCAGCAAGACGAGCAGGCTCTTATAGAGAGCCGACACCTGCACAGCCAAGCAAGTATGAGGCAGTGTTAATCAGCGGTCCATCAGGCCTGGGCAAGAAATTCTGATGCGAGATTGTCCCATGACACAGTGACCAGGGCAGAGGGTTGTTCTCTTTCCGACTACAAATACCCTCCTGCATTTTCCAGAGGACCCAATCTCGTCAGCAAACATCATGCCTGGCCGCAAGCAGAGAAAGGCACAGAAATCTTCGCAGCGGGGCACCAGAGGGCAGCGCCGTGCAAATAAAGTTCAAGATACATCTGCGGAGCACGCTGTTTCTCCAGAGGTTTTTGCAACATACTCTTTGGTCGACAGTGTTGTCTGTGAGTAGCCATCTTCCTCGCCTTGGCTTACCCTTTATTGACAAAAGCAAAGTGCCGACGGTAGATGGGCACAGCACAGAGACTATCAGAGTTGGCGACATGTCAGTGGCTCATGAATTTAAGGTGCATTTTGCTGATTCATATACAGCATTGTTACCTTGCCCAACCACCCTGCCCAACAGAGAGGCGAGGATAGCATTTCTGCCTGCTTTGTTGCAAGCATGCTGGGCCGAGTTACGCCTGCGCCCGCATCGCAAGCTGCACAGGCTGCACAAGAGGAGGATGCCGATCTCCTTGAGAGTGAAGTTGAGGAGGTCGTGCTGAACTATCATGGTGCATCTGGGCAGGGGCACAAAGCCACTTGTCAAGTCCAAGACCTTTGGCACGCACGGGTTACTTCATTGCGGGAGCATGGAGGGCAGGTAAGTGGTGTCAAGCTATCTTGAAGTATTCTTCTCAACATCATCCACAGAGGTTCGCAGCGCTCACATGGTTCTACCGTCCAGGCGATGTGGCAGAGTTGCGCCCGGACCGCAAGGTCAAAGCATACATCAAGACTCTCTCGTCCGCAGAGCTGGTGTACTCGGACCACTTCACCATCAATTTGGTGGAATGCATTTTTGGGAAGAGCCCTATGGTAGAATTCACCTTGGGTGCAGCAGACTTGCGGACCTTGGGGCGTAACGACACCTTCACGCGGGGTGATAAGCTCATGATAGAGGATGATGGCCATGTGCGGCTAGAGGTGAGTGCTGTCAGGCTGTTATAGAATATTATTCTGATGCACAAGACAGCCACCACAACAGATCTGCTGGGATGACGGTTGCAAGCTTGGGCGGACATACACCCCAGGAGAAGATAGCATCCGCTTCTGCGACAATCCTCATTGTCAGCGGTGGTTCCATGTGGTGTGCGTCGAGCCATTTCTACCCACCCCTGGTGCTCCCATCTGGCCTGCTGTCATCTCAGAAGGAATCGCCATGTCCAAGCGTGCAGAGGAACTCGAGCATCCCCTGCTGGCAAAGCTCCTTTGTTCACCCATCCAGCGGGCACCCCTCGCGTTTTGGATGGGCCAGAGGAATGGACACTCCGATCATCCATTCTCATTCGAGAGGGCAATCAAGGCTGCTCGTGATGGATGGGCTCAGGGAAAGGCAGGCATGGGTAGCGAGGAGTGGATGAAAGGAGTCCTTGGGTATGCAGATGAGGAGGCTACTGAGGCTGAGCTAGAACGGCGTATACGGCAGTTTAGCCAGCTAAGAATTCCTGCGTACTATGTTTGCCCGCGTTGCGAGTCGGTTTTGTAATGTGATGTATGGTGCTTTAGCAGCCAATGCTGCTCATGCTGTTTTGGGTGCCAGCAACTTCTTTGTTGATGAATAGTGCACATAAGGATCAACCAGGCCCAAGTTTTGCAAACTATGATGATGCACTCAAGCCTCCCGTAACGGCCGCTAGGATGTTGGGGTT